ACACACACACACACACACACACACACACACACACACACACACACCACTTTATCCATGGCTTCATTTTCAGTTGCTAGAGTTTAAAAATATCAAATAGAAAATACTAGAAATGAATAATTCATAACTTTTAAAATGCACACCATTCTCAATAGGATGATGAAATCTCAAACTATTCTGCTCCATCCTGCCCAAGCCATGAATCATCTCTGTCCTATGTATCCATGCTGTATATATTACCTGCCCATTAGTTACTCAGTAGCTATCTTGGTCACAGATCAACTATTAGAGTACTGTAGTGCTTCTGTTCAAATAACCCTTACTTTACTTAATACTGGCCAAAAGGCACAAGAGTAGTGATGCAAAAAGGCATCAGGACATAAAAGATGGAAGGACAGATTAACTCTGGTACTATGTGGCAATGCTGCAGGTCATATGGGGGGATGGGATATACAGAAGTTGGCACTATACATGGTTTTAGGTATCCCTTGGGGGTATTGAAACATATCTCTTCTGAAGAAGGGATACTACAGTATTTGCAATATTTAGACAAAATGAAAATAGGAGAAAAACTTTTTTTAAAATGTGACATTTTATCTTACTTTCCAATAAGAAAAGAGTTTTCTCTGCCTTCTAGCATGAGGCTCTTTCTTGGGTCTCAACCCCTCTTCTCCAAACATGACTTGATCCACCTCTATTGCTTGCACCTCTGTTGGCTTTTTAGGTTCTTATTTTGAAAATCTGCTATGACTTGTTACCACTACTCAACCTTCTATAGAAAGACGGTCTGTGTTTCTAGAAGACCATGCATAGCACAACCTTCTGAGTCATTTGATTCTAGCCACATTCATGGCCTTTGAGCTATTTTACAACTCTATGAATAAATGTGTTGTTTTTTGAAATCTCTCTTGAATCAGTTTTAACATCTGCCTAGTTTCCTCTTTGAATTAGTTAAAGAAAATCTTTAACAGGTGCTCATGTTTATAACTGTATGACAGTCGTGACTTCACCTTTGCCTGAAAATTAGGTCAGCACTTCTAATCCATAATCTACATCCCAGTGAGCACACTGGCTGAGCTCACAGCCCTGTCCTCACCTCTACCACCCTACCCCTGAGGATCCCCTGCCCTTCTGACTGTCTATATCCCCAAATGAGAGGTGCACATTTATTAATTAGAAATTAGAAACACCGTAACATGGATAGACTTGCACATTATAATGGGTGTACCAAAAATCAAAAATTAAAATAGATGAGAAAAAAATGAAAAGAAAGAACAGTTATCACAGTTTTGTATTCTTTGGGGGGACCTTCAAGATCTTTTTAACCCTCACTCTCCTTCCTGTTCCCAGTCCTCAGACACTCTCTCCTGCAGTCCTTCCACTCTTCAAGGCTTCCAGTCCAGGATCTGCTGCTCTTTAATTATCACCGTCACTCCTCTTCCCACCACCATGCTCTCACTTTTCCTTTTCCTTTGACTCTGCCTAGAGTCAAAGGACTCTACCCCATTTTTGCTACCACAAAACCAAATAACTCCCCTATGCTCCTTCCTCTCATCCCTCTCCACCTCCATCTCTAGGAAGAGTGCATGTAGAAGTCCACTCCACTCCACCTGCAGATAGTTCATCTAGATTCTAGTTTCTAGTGAAATGACTCGTGAACCTCACAGGTGCTTCTGAGCCTCTGACCACGCTAATGTGAGATGTGTGATTGCAGATGACAAATGGGTACTCAAGACTTCTGGTCCCTTCCTCCTATTGGAAGGCTCCTTACTTATTTACTCTACATACGTGGAGTTTGCTGTCAATTGCAGCCTTGTGTTGTTCTCCTAGCACTTCTCAGGCCTTCTTCTCAGTCTCATTCACTGCCTCATCTCTCTGAACCAGAACTTTCAGTGTTGAGTCCTGGTGCTGACTTCTCAGTCCTCTTCTTGACTTTCCTAATGTTGTCCCCACCACTTTAAGCCATTCTGTGATGGCTATATGCTAACAATTCCAAATTCAATTTTTCCAGTCCTGACCTCATACTTATGTGCCACAAACTCCTGTTTAATAGACCTCTTCATTTGATATGCTATAAATATATTTTTTACCCACATTTTTAATTGGTGCCTTATGGTCATATATACTGATGCTATTTGTTTTACAATATTTGTATATGCACACAATATAATAATGTAATTTAGCCAATATTATTCCCCATCCATTTTCCCCCTCCCTCCCACTATAAACATCTTTATAGGCTACCAAAAACTGATTTTTATACAATGTCAGGAACTACTGCTGAACTCCCTCAGCCAAAGTTAGGCCCCCTCCCTGGATCAGCCCACATCCCACTGCTGGTTAAAGCAGAGTGAAATTCAGGATAGATCTAAGGGGATCACTGAGGCCTGTTTTTGCAGCTGCACCCTATTGACCTCTTCCTCACAGATGATGTCCCAGAGGGAAGGATCCACAAACCTCCTGTACTCAGATACCTGCCTAAGAGTTTGTTTCCTAGGACTCTACAGGGGACAGAGCAATGGGGAATTTCACGTTAGCTTGCCCACAAAACCAGATATTTGATCATACACCAGTCTAGTTATTGCTGTGAGGATATTTTTCAGATGTGCTTAACATTTAAATCTGTAGAATTTGAGTAAAATAGATTACCCTCCATAATGTGGAGCTTTATCCAATCAGATGAAGGCATTGAGAGTAAAGGTCACCTCCTGCCCCTACCCTGATAAAAGGGACTTCTGCCTCCAGACCTTCCTGGAGCTGGACTTCTACATGCACTCTGCCCTGAGGCCCCGGCCCGTTTTGGCTGGCCCCTGTAGATTTGGGGCTGGACAGCCACCAACATTCCAATCCCTTAAAATAAATGTCTTTCTTTCTTGCATGTGTGTGTGTGTGTGTGTGAGAGAGAGAGAGAGAGAGAGAGAGAGAGAGACAGACAGACAGACAGACAGAGAGACAGAGATACAGACAGAGACAGAGACATATGTATGTGTGTGTGTGTGGTACTGTTTCTCTAACATAAGCATCAAGGTAAAAATTTTGACTTTCCCTGATTCCTTTGGCTCTTTTCTTTGTACTAGATCACACATGCCTTAGGAGAACCTCCTGCTTTCCTGCTTTAGGAGGGCAGGCATACATCCTGTTTTCCACTTAATTCCTTATTTATGTGTATTCTCTTTGTTTCTTCTTCCATTCTCTGATGATCAGTCTACCAAAAAGCTTGTCCTTAGGAGGTTCCCGGCCAAAGTCTAAATGTATAAACATGTACAAGAAGACCTCAGCATGGTGAGAAGCAGAAGCAGAAGGAGGAAGGAGACTCACTGATGCTTGTGAGCTACTTATTTTCTTCCCCCAGTGGAAGGAGGTGGTGGTGAATCCTCTTACAAGTAGCAGTGTGCTTCTTAGGACCACCATACAGGGAAAAGACTTTCTGACCAGGTAATTTTGGGAGTCAGGTAAAGAGAGTAGAGTCCACAGCATCTTACCTGCCATCCCTGCTCCATCTCAGGCAGCACACCTGGAGGGGGTCGGCAAAGGAGGAGTGTGACTTCCTGTGGTGCCCCTCGCAGTAAATGGAGCACCTCCTATGAGAAACCCAGAGTCACAGTCAGATTTGGGGCTGGAATCTCTAGGGAGCTTCTCCTCTCTATTCCCCACTATGACTGGAGGGCTGCCGCTTCCCCGACCTTGATCTGTTTCATGGCTCCAGAGAAGTTTGAAGAACACCACTGTGGGCCTGACGTCTCAAAGGGCAAGAAGACAAGGACAGTGGCTGTGGGGCCCACAAGGGCAATGCACAGAGGTTAGGCTGGGACTAGCCCCACTACCTAGACTTCCAGAGCATGACACTGGCTCTGAGCTTCCTGCCATGGCTTGCTGGGACCCTGAGACCCTCTCACCTGGGATATTGCAGTGGCCCACTTTGATCCCTGCCTTCTCCAGCGTCTCCCACCTCCCTTCCTCTGAATGGCCCAAGCAGTCTTCCCCAAGTGCAGAAATGGCCAAGTTTTCCTGCTACTGTACCACCTCCCTGGCTTGTCCCAAACACAGAGCACACTGTTCTCCTCTGCCACTGCCTCTCTCCCCAGCTAATTCTCCATATTCTTTCTCCCCTCTCCACCCACAGCCTAAGCTCCCACCATGCTGGACCTATGCTCTAAGCCACCTACACCCTGCCCATGACACAAGGATGTTAATAGCCCCTATTTCCTATTGAGGCTAGGATTTGTCAGTCTCCTAGTACTATTAGCATTTTAGGCTGAATAATTCTGGAGGGTTTTATTTGGGAGGGGGTTTGCAGTGCTGGGGAGTCAAGTGGGTCATTCTTTGCTGAGACACGTGTCCTATATATTGAATGATGTTTAGCAGCATCTCTGGTTTCTATTCACAGGATGCCAGCACCACCTGTCACTTGTGATAATTATAAACATCTCTGTGCCAGGCCAAATATCCCCTGAGAGACAAATGCATTTCTGCTTAAGAACCAATGATCCAGATGTTCCACAGCCTCCCATTTCAGCCACCTAGGACTTCCACAGGATGCGCTTCTTCCCTGGAGAAGTTGAAACAGCACAACAGCAAGGGCTTTCAACTCTCACAACTCTTTTTTATTTTATTTTATTTTATTTTATTTTATTT